GATTTACTGGCGAAACCATCGCTCCCAAAGGTGCAAACATGCCCGGAATGCCAAAGGAAAGCAAGCAGATCAAGGTACCGGATATGCGCGGCCACCTCACGGGTGAGACAGTAATGCTTTATTCACTGCGTCACCGGGTTAGGCCGGCGCCCTTTAACCGAGTAGGTCAGATTATTGAGTCACCAGTTCGGGAAAAATCCACAGAGAAAATCCCTATTTCCCACTGCCCGGCGGGTCAGACTTGTCACTCAGAAGATAGGGGCTGGGCCCCGAACAAGACCCTAATCCCTCCACTGCCTTATAGGGATCACTTTTGAGTACATCGACCAAACCCCCCTTCATGGTCTGGGCAACCTGAAAGTATCATTGCATAGTTCTTCGTCCACCACACAAACACACAATCAAACGCTACCGGATCTTGTGACTGTCAATAATTTGATCGATGTACCTTATGCATCTCGCAGCCTATTAACAATAAAAAACACCCTGCTAAATCCACGAGATGTATTCAACATAGGTACCTGCAACGTCCATAATGTATATCGATTTGGCAGATAATGCTCACTGAGGCCTTACACTCCTTTAGAACTGGTGTATGCATTGTTTCTGAATCATGCATACAAGACCCAAGCGCGACCATATACCCCCCACGTGTTCAGTGATACAAAAGCGATGACTCGTGGAATATATGGCGTGGGAGTTGCACTTAGCCCCAGAGCGGAATGCGCTTTGTTGGATCGGATTCCAGTAAATAGTCGTCCTCGCGCCGTCCGGTTATCCAGCTCAGGTGATCTCAATGACTTCCGACGCAAAAAAACAGTGCCAGCATATGCCCTAACGAACTGCACTTCTGATACTGAAGAGGATACTTTCTATCGAAAGTTATCCGAGCTCATTCGTCAAGCAAGAAACACACACTGTAAGCCATGCGGGCGATATGATTGCACAGATTGGTCGTCTGACCTCGTTAGGATCACATCTGGGTGATCGATTCGGAGTCGATGCTCGTCACACAGACAACAGAAAGCGACTCCTTCAGTCGTGTGCTGATCATCAACTGCTTCTGGGTAGCACGAACTTTCAGCGAAACGTCCGCATGGCGTAACCTGACAGCCACCAAATGCAAACCACCCGTGGTTCTAGTTGGACCACGTGACTATCAGCCTGGTAGAGAGCCACAATTCGAGACAGACGTTCCTTCTGAGGCACGATTAAGCAATGGTGCGAGCACATCTGACAGTCAGCTTCCCTTCAGGCCCTCACAAGTCAGCAAGAGGCTTGCCAATCCGTCATTTTCTGGAGACCCGTGTTGCTCAACAGTATCGATCTACCACAACTACCTTCCACAGTGAACCAACACTTTATTGATAGCGAGCAAACAGAATTTAAGCTTTATTCGCCCATCAGAAGTAATAAAGTACGAAATATCCGTGCTGAATCGTGAAAAGGCACCAGGACCGGACGGTCTTCTTCAAAGAAGACGAAGAACCCCTGGTGACTCATCTAACAAAGCATATTGGTGCGATATAGAGCGAAGAGGAAGTGTCCGCAGAATAGGGCATTTCGACAGTTATCCATATCTTCAAACACGGTATATGGACGCCGTGTGGAAACCACCGCGGCATCAGCCTGGTAGCTTTGGAACCGAAAGTTGACCGAATGCAGGGACGGACCCGAGAAAAACAAGCTGGACTGCGTCCTGCAAGAAACGTTCAGCTGTGGCACCCTTCCGCTGCCTAGCTGCCATGCCACCCAAAGGAAGCACGAGGGCTGGGATACTGCCAGGTTGCCCAAGCCTAGACGAGGAAAGTCGAGAGACAGAGGTCGAATTCAAACCACAGACCTTCCGGTCCGCGTTGCAACATGTATCGATCACATTTTCAGCATCTGACAGAATCTAGAACAGCGATACTCTTTCAAGCAACCGACAATGGTGGTGTTCCTTGACTTGGAATCTGCCTTCCACTCTGTGGACCACCAGGCACCGTGGCAATGTTTATGGAGCAATATGTTCCAGAAAATTCTTGTCCCCCCTTAAGGCGTTGTACGCCGACTCCCACGGACGGGTGAAGGTCTACTGGAAGTTCTCACCTGAGTTCACCATTTCAAGCAGTACTATTGACACAATTATGGAATGCTCACTACCAATTCCTAGTGCCTGTGAAACCAAAATGCCATCGAAGAATTCTCTTAAACGTATCGATCTGACACCACTGTAATGCAAATAACATTGAATAATTCAAATAATTCTGCCTCACGGTTTGGCATGTGCTTCACACCCGCAAAGTGCTGCTGTGAGACTGGGTGAGCTGAAACCTTGACCTTATGCTTGCGGATCAGCCGGTTGACGTAACAGACTAGTGTCTACCTGGGCAGTTGTGTCGGCCCCGGTAGTCTCGCGAAGGGTGCTATTCAAATCCAGATTGGGAAGGTCGGGTCCGCCTTCTTGAACTTGCATTACCTATGTCGAAAGCATGACACCAGCTTATCCGTCAAGAGTCGAGTTCGCAACGCTGCGATGCGTTCTATATTGTCTTACGGACCAGAAACCTGATAGATGCATGCTGGAGAGGCCAAAAAGATATTTAGTGTTTGATCATCGATGTCTTTGGAGCATCACCCGAGTCTGGTTGGAACACCGGATCAGTAATGCTGAAATATGTCGAATGGTTTCGGAATAACTAACTCGCTTGCAACAGATGAACTGATCACACCTAACAGGTTGTGCTGGATTAGTCACGTAATCCGTATCCCGGTCGATCGACTTCACCGGGCTTTATTCGCACAGCCACGTGAAGGGTGGAAACGGGCCAGGGGTGGTTAATCAATGACTTGGCGAAGTACGAAAGCCATTACCAACAAACTCAGCTGGGCTGGTCATTACGGCCTCCCTAGACGGGGACCACGAAACCAGACACATCAATTGTTAGAGACGTTGTCAAACATGAACCAGTCGCACCCTCAATGGCGCTCGTGTATCCAAGCTGTTACCTTCAATGCATAGCTCCCCTCCCAATATTTCCAATTCAAAGTTCACCGACACCAATGTATAGACGCATCAATTGAATCAGCTACCGTCTCCAATGCGCAGATGTTCACCCCACCTCCCCAAATCATCGGTGACCGAAACGGTGGCAGCTAAAACTACCGTACAGCAAGTACGCGACTTTTACAGTTGATGATGATGTGGATAACCTGCTCGGGTTGTAGAGTTTAAGGAAACAACTTAAAACTTCGCCCATAAAATGCAGGAACGTGAAACATTCCAATCATGGTTGAGAAGTGATGAACAGTTTTTCTGCCAAAGGACTACTCGATTCAACGGTTTGAAGTAAGTGGGATTTTCCACACATTTATCTTATGTGAGTTGTTAACTAACTGGTGAGTGAAACATGAAAACTGGTACCGATGAGACAGATTTAACGTGGTAGTCAGCCACGAGGCCTTTTATTACTTAATCGAACCCATCAAGTGGGTGGATAAAAACCGTAAAAGTGAATCAGTAGCAATCTGTTCGGACCATTTCACATAGGGTTAAAAATCCGCCAAAAGCTGTGCACAACAGAGGGGTTTGGATTGCAACGGGTGCAACTATTCAAGTAACTTGAATATCAGTATCATCGCCATCCTAGTTGGCGTAGAAAAAGTTAAGAAAGTTATGCTTATGTTTCGAGAAACCGCAGCATGGGACAGTGATTGATTCAAAGAAGCATGTGCCGTTTATGAGTTAGGAAAGCGTGCTGAGTGGAATTGCGCCTACACCCTATGGCCCGAAGTGAGCCGCTCTATATAAGCAAACAACAAGTCGATTAGACTGGTATGTCGTTGGCCGCTTACGCAACACACGAAGACGCCTTGACTGGTCACAATGTCAGTCCATCAGGACCGAGCATCTATGACTTTTCGCTTCTCGCCTCCGCTGTTCTACTGAAAAGCGACCCGCTGGTCCATAAGGATAAAAACATTCTGCCCCTCGTGAATCATGACACGCAGCTATCGCATGTGGTGCTACATACTGCTAGGACCGTTGATAAGATCCGAACTTCACTCGTAGATGGTGACGATAATGAAGTGGCCTCGACGGTACACACTACCTTGAAAAGAGCTTTTCCAACCATCTTAGGCGACTACAAGAACTTCAGCTGCTCCTTCAATAGTGCTCGGTCAGCATCTTGGATACTTAATCCACGGAGTGGTGTTGTTGGCTTTACCGATTGCCCATAGTTTCAAGGAGGTACGCAGTACTCATCCTATAAATTCTACTAACAAACACTAGAAACCTGTGCTCAAAGTCTTTTTTGAAGGAGACTGTTCCTGGGGGGGGGGTGCTAAGAGGAAAGAGATGTAGCAACGAACCGGTGTTGCCTCCATGGAGTGAAGACTGTCGAGATGGTACAAATCACTTACCGATCCAGTAGCTCGGATAATGAATCAAGGTGATCCGATGGAGTGGACAACATCATTCTCAAAGTCAAGCAGTCCTGGTACCAAAACCAATGTCGAGTCCAAGGGGATTCTGGACCAATGGAGTGTGATGATTCAATGTGGTCTGGGGGAAGGCATGCTGCTTCGTCGATGGGACTTTGGGCAACGCGATGACGAGAGAGACAATCTCGACTCGGCCAAGAGGAGGCGCTGCACTGGCACGATTGCCATCCGCCGGTGAGACCGGGATATTTACTTGAGTGAGTAGATGCATTCGGACAGCATGGTTCTCGAATCATTCGAGTAATCAAGTGAGCTATATCAGGTCCGAGTGGGGAACAAAATGAATACGTTTCGACGTTAAAATTGGAGTCTCCCGAGGGTCTTACATCGTCACACATATTACACCGTCGTTCATTAATTCGAGCAATCAAAGCCAGACGTTTGTGTCGTTCAACAGTACGATGTCGGAGGATTGACTTTGGCATTCCAACGTTACAGGGACGAACTGGAGGGGATACTGGAACATTCACCATAGAGAAAGTATTGAGTTCAGTGAAAACTTGTTGGTTAGATTCACGAAACAACGAGGGCATTCTGAATACATAACTCACCTTCGACGACCGTCGAGTCAATCGGCAACGGGTCTGGCAGAGGTGGATAGACCGCTGAAATAGAGTAATAAGCACATCAGTAAATACACACAGTACACGAAAAGCATTTTCAAGATATTCGGCGTCTTCGGCTCATCCCAAACAGAATGAGATTCGGTGCACATTCAGTGTGTCACTTGTGAGCCGGGGGTGCTCCTTGTATAGCTTCCTAAATTATTGACATGTAAACCTCTGTAAACGAGGTGTGGAACCGGATCGGTTAGCAAAGGAATGTAATAAACTGAGTGTGTGGCCGAATCAATCGTAGGTCAGCATTATGTAACGATGAGGCTCATTGTGTGTATGTGCGTCCAGCTGATCGATTCTGTTCCTACACACCTGACATTACGCAGTGTGTGAATGACCCGAACCCAAAACACCCCTCACACTTTCGGTCAAACATGAAGCTCGAGTAAGTTCAGTGGTCAAAGCACGAATTAACCGACCCGAAGGCCTGTGGTTCGAACCCAACATGAGCATCTCGACTGCTCCTGTCTAGGCTTGGGCAACCTGACAGTATCTCAGCCCTCGTGCTTCCCTCGGGTAGCATGACAGCTAGGTACCGAAAGGACGTTACAACTTAGCGATCTAAAAAATAGACCGACTTTGCATCTCAGCGCAATGTATTGTGACCATAAGGTAGGATATCCATCAGATCATTCGGTTACTAGATGACCTTCCCAGAGGGCTCACATAATTGCGAAAAGAATGAAAAGTTTGAGTTACGAAGTCAGCTTTGTCATCTTATTTTAGGCTATAGGACTGTATTGCTCCTTCTCCCCAAGACTGTTTCAAAGAGGGGGAACGTCCATGCGGTCGACGAAATCTTCCTCTCGTGAGTGGGACCACTTCGAAATGAGAACTCAGTCCTACACAGATGACTTGTTCTGATGACCGGGATTATAAGCAGCTGGTTTCTCGTTAAATGATTTCTCTTCAAAAATCTCTGAGTCGTATTTTAAATGCTTTACATGGACCGTGTCCCGAAGGATGGACAAGCTCTATGATGTAGTGCTTTTGTCCAGGCGCGCTGTGGTCGACGACACAATATGCGCAAAACTGCCTGGCTGTAAGGCATCCGTCGGTAATGTGCTATCATCCATGTCATACCCTTCAATGGAATCACAGAGCTACCCATGTTTTCCACTCTGGATCCACTTCTAATGAAGGGGACTGAGTGGTTTTTGGTTTGTAGACGACAAAGGAAATGAAATCTGGAAACTTTAGGAATATTATTTTGGCCAATATCTGAGAACACGTCACAGGACTGCGGCATCGTTCTGTCCTGGGACAGTTTGATGATATTGTAAGGTCATTTAGTCGCGATACCTCTATAAAAACATTTGACATCCATCAGGTAGGCACAGTGGTTAATGACATTGAGGGAAATGGCCCAATCGCGCAGTTAGTGGCGCTCGTCCATCAAAGCTATCGCCTTCAATTCGTAGCAACCAAATTTCCGAACAAACTGAACATGCCTTCACCTCCAAGGATTGGTTGCAATATTCACTTTCCCGTTTTCCGGTGATCAAAACTGTAGCAGCTGGAACCAATGTGCCTATAACACACGGCTTACAGCTGACAAATTAAACCGTTCAGCAGTAGCACGCTTTCGGTGTCTAACTGCCATGCCGCCACAAGGAAGCACGAGGTTGCCCAAGTCTAGACAGGGGAAGTCGAGAGGCAGAGGTCGGGTTCGAACCACGGACCTTTCGGTCAGTAAATTCGCTCTCTAACCATTTGGGCCATCTCGCCCAGCTGACAAATTGAATTGAATTGATATATCGTATAGCGTACCAGATGAAACATGATACTGCCTTTGCTGAAGAATATCTTGAACGAGTGGTCTAGATGGGATTCACTTAGGTACACATTGGTTTGCAAACGAGTGTATTTCCAGTACAGAACTGACGTACCTGAGTGGTGTCCCAATTCCTCATTGACGCTCTTCACCACAGCAGACCCCAAGAAAGACCATCCGATAGTTCCTGTGTTTCTGACGCCATTGAGAGACTGTAGCGTTTTTCGCTGAGCAGTGACTGAAGATGCAACAAAAGATTCAACAGAGAACTGCTACATGGTACGTCAGTTAGGCTGCAAGGGAAAAGTGCCAATACTGACAAAAGATTAAACAAATCGGAACAGGATAAAAACAGACTGCCCGATCGTGTGCGCGGTGCACTACCCCATCTATGTTGTCTCTCTTGATGTACATCTCCGATACCTAGTTTAATGATTCGTCACTATCGGGGGTAAACTGTAATTCCTTGAGGTGTCTTCGGTTACATGCAGTACTCCTTTCCCAGCTGCATCGTCATTTGCGGACGACACTTCAATAACTCAAAACGACGGGTGGTTTGTCTACGTTCTGCGGCTATGGACGGCTGGATCGAACAGAGAAAGGGATATGGCTGACTACTGTACTTAAAAGATATGTTAAGAACACCCGGAACATATGAAAACACAGTGAATCCGTCAGATTCCAAGACAATGTTAAAACTGCGTATGAGCAAAACAATCCACCACTAAACTGAATTCCATCGACAGGCTCGGATGTTGTGGCGCTTGAAAAGCTCTTAAAACAATCTGTAGTTTTCTGATAGTTACTACTGCCTCCTAGCAAGAGATTCAAGCAAAAACCTTAGATCCAGAATTTCAAACAACCAAAACTCCGTCATATCGGCCGTTGGGCAATCTATCAACACTTTAAAATGCGCAGTTAAAGTTCAGCGTTAGATTTTCAGGAGTTGTAGTGACAGTACACAAGTTATTCAGAAACGTATTATCTTGAAATGATTTAGCGGCCTTACAGTATAGGCTCACGATAGTTGGCGCAAATCGTTGTCTAACAAAAGGTGCCGGTGGACGGCTAAAATAACAGATTTTGAAAATTGAATGTATCAAACACTTGGAGAGACAGTTGAAAAAGTGAGATTCAATCACAGCATAAAGTACACGACATTATTGGACTCTGTGGATTTAGATTTGATGGCAGTAATATTCGACTAAATAAGCTGGTCAACGCGGGGAAAACCGGAAGAGTATTGCACTTACCATCATCGACGACCTCCACTGTGTCCACCACGGTTATCAGATTTGATCGTGCGCACAAGTCACGACAGCGACGGGCAACAAAAGTTGGCAAATCGCGACTCATTTCGGCTAGATTCTTTGTCTGACCAATCAGACGTGCGGCAGCTCCAGCGCGATCTAACCAGTCCAAATCAGGTTCATTAAATGCGGAAGCGTGTGCTACGGGACGCGAGCCAACATTCGAACGGGCCGCCAACACAAGGAAGGGATGACTAAGCGCTGTAACTAATCTCGGCAATGGAATGCGGAGCAGATAATCATCCACATAAAGTGGCGAGATGATCGGGTGTGTTTCGAACAAATTCGGGTGGTTGCATACTTTACGGAGTTGCATTAGCACATTCATGACTGATAGAAATTGACCCGATTTCAGTGTCTCTTTTGTGCTTGAGGGGAAAATGTGTTGAAAAACAAAACTGAAGGTTAACTGGGTAAATGGACTGCGGAGAGTCTTCAGTAAGCCAAATGTGTTCTTAGGAGTTGTAAATCACTGTACTAATATAACCGTCACCAGCTTTCTGTTGCACCCTTCGTAGGACACGGGTTTACGTTGCGGTCAGACCTCGCAACAGCTGATACACATCAATCTAATTTCCAGGACCCGCTGAAAGAAAAGCGGAGATGGCGAAAGTGAAGCTTCATCTGGTCTATGGGGCTACTCTGCATGTCTTCGAGGTGTTAGTGTTTGACTGGCCAACATAACAGTGACTTAACACAACAATAAGGACGATTTACGACATTGGTTTATGTAACCAGGTCATGTAAATGGTACTATTTCCAGTCTTTTTTATGTTCTTAGGGGGTTTTAAGGACTCCACTGAGAAGATAGAGGGTCGGGATGCGTCAAACAGTTCCCGAATGGATGAGGTGTGTGAATGAGATGGGGATTGCATCACACACTCTAGCCTAAGCACTTTGAGGTTGATAGAAGTAAATGACGAAGAGATCCAAGCGCCAATCAATATGGAGGATCGTGAAACTAATTATCTTTCTTGAGAATGAAATGTGTGGTCATGAAAAAGACTTAGTTTCCAAAAGGAACTAGATATTGAGTAAGTTGGAGAGAACTTGACCGAAACCACTGAGTGCTACTTACTGCACAGTCTAGATTAGGTTCAGTGGGAAGTTGTAAACCATTGCACCGTGTACCATCTAAACATCAAATATCCTTGTATAACAATGTGGGTTAATTATTGGAAAAAAATGCTACGCATTGCAAGAAGATTTCTCAATACCACCAGAAATACTCGACAAGCTAACCAAACGGTTGTATCGACAATCAATACTGAGTATTCATTCGAGGGAACACCTTCGAGAGATGACAAAATGTACATCCCATGGATTGTTTCTGTCCGCAGACCAGCCGTCCCTAATAACCGAACATCACATCATTTGGATGGATGTGTCACGTGCAGGATACACAGCAAACAAAGGTATGCTCTGATTGGTCAGAATGCCAGCCAATCCGGATCGAGCATCTTTGACTCGACGCTTCTCGCCACCATCACGGAGATTCTAGCACGACCTTGTGTAACATTCTGTGAGTACCTTATAAATACAGTTGTAATAATTCTTTCATCTAGAGCTACCGTGCCTTTTGATATACCATAGTGGGCGGAGCAGGAAGCTAAGGGACCGATACAGAGTTGCACTACTGTTCAGCAAGACACTACAGTTTCCCTGGGGAGGGACAAACGATGGCCGTGCCTTATCCAACTACTCAAGCAACAAAGTGCAGGGGTAGGGAGTGGTCTAACAAAAGCCTAATTTAGGGGTTTTGCAGGATAGGTATTTTGTTCATAGCCACACCACTCTCGTTCGAACGGCCGTGTTCCTGTTCTGGCGTAATTATTCCGGCAAGTCCACACCAAAGGGGTGTAACCACTACTCCACCAACGCACGTTGGACGCATCTGAATTATCACGTCTGAACAGGAGAACGTGATCACACTTGAGCGATGTGATTGGTGTGCCCGACTCATCGAACGACGGCCCAGTAACTGTCCTGGTTGTGACGATCGATTGACCCGCAAGTCAGGACTTCCCACGCCCGCATATCAGATGTCCGGGGTTCAAATCCCGGCACGGCCATTGGATATGCACTGCTGATGAGCTCTAATAAGAGCGAAACTCGAGTCCAGTGCTTCCCTTTGGTGTGGACTCGCCGGAATAATTACGCCAGAACAGGAACACGGCCGTTCAAACGAGAGTGGCGTGGCTATGAACAAAAGACTAATTGCTTTCAGGATGCTCTCAGTAGCTTTGGTTGATGTATTTCAAGCATACTGGAAGAAAAAGATTCGCAATGGGAAGCGAAACTATACATTTGCGAAAATCAACATAATTACCTGCTCATCGACATAAAGTCGTCGTAGAGGAAACGTTGTCTGCGTGACAGTCGACACATGATTACGTGTTCGAATTTCTTTGGCATTTGGCGCTCAACGTCCGCCTTGAGGCGACGAAGAAGGAAGGGACGTAATACTTTGTGCAGCCGAGCGATAAGTTCCTCATTGTATTCACTTGTTCCCTCTATCATTCCTATAAAACAGAAAGAAATTGGGAATTCAAGCCAAGCACACATGCATTTCGGATAGGTACGATTTCAGTTCGCAAAAAAGTGACAACGGACTGCGGAGCACAGTTAATCCCCTTATGAGAAGAGCATCATAATCGACCGTAAACCGGGTATATGTTGTCGAGTGGTTATATCTGCCACCATTTCGTTCGCCAATAATCTACAGATGGCTACGAATTCGGGGCAGCAGCCGACATAGCTGATGTATGGATACACGAATGGTAATGGACTTTCCATTAAGGAGATAGAGAGGGAAAGTTATGCATTGAAGATAACAGCAACGACATGCGTTCCCTTGTGCGTGCGATTGAGCCAATGACTGCCAATGAACAACGGGATAACTCGCAGACACCGTTGGTCAGAAAGCCCCCCCCCATCATCGATGAATAATATTCAGCTAAAAGTGGGTAGAAGAAAGGTACAATAAGAACCGGAACACAATGTTTGCACTCAGTGTGTATTGACAACTCCTATTGCGTCCATCATTTAACTCAACAAATACCTAGTATGATAAGAACCCCGATTAATATCGCTTGGCTCTTGGTTATGATAACGTGTTAGAAACATCTCAGAATTAAATGCAGAGTGCCTTGTGCCAAGTTGAATCACATGATGTAACGGCGGATACTACTGATGAGGCATGCGAGTAGTCTGTGGTCCTCTCGAAGCTTCACCCTGAGTCTAAAGGAAGGTGGGGTTTAGTACGCAGCTTGTGGAGCTGTTTTGCAGTGTTTGTTTCTAATTGCGTGATAGTGAATGTATACCCATGAATGTTCAAGAAAACGCGTGAGAATGTTCAGTTTTTGAAAACTATGTGCATATGAGACGTTTACTTTCCTGTCCAATAGTTTGTAACTGCTTAGTTGTTTCTTGCTAATAAACGACTTCGCGGTGGAGTGCTTTTCTCCTTACAACGATAGATTCCACACATTATGGCCTATCCTACGAAATCAGTTACCAATTAATAGTGACTGTGTTATGGCCATGATTAGTCACCATCATTGCAATAATAAGATGGTATGACATCCTTAGAAATAATTAACAGTAATCGTTGCGATGACAGCTGATGATAAAAACGTGAATGAGGCCTCGGGGAACAGAGAAGCATAAACCATTCAAGCAGAAGTATATCAAAAAAGGAGAACCATATAGGAAGCACGACAACATCCCGAAGCCTGGGAAGTCATAGTTCTGCGGATGTCTGAAGAGGTATACATTATATATATATATATATATATATATATATATATATACGCGACGGGATGCCCGTAAACGGTAGATTCCGTGCCGTTCAACTGCTCGCCTCCATAAGTATATTCCTGTTTACCAGAAAACGGCGGCTCCAATCCAGTCAAAGGAACCTTCTATGGAAGACTAACCGCTCTCTTTTCCATCGCAGAGTTCAGTTGTAGTTGTAATGGTTGGGTAGTTCGCGGATTAGGTATGCACCGCAGTTCGGTAGAGACATGCATTAGTGTTATATTCAGTCTAGATGCAAAACAGAATGACAACGAAGAAGGCCTTTTGCAACACGACTGACCGCAGGTTGTTTCTCAGTAGTACTGGGCTCAAACGAACTGAGTGTCGTTGTGCTATTCGACCTTTCTTGATGGCTGAGCAACAACAGGGTCAAATTAATCAAATGGTCATCGGCTAATGATAAAGCTTTAAACCACAACTGATGAGCACTATAGGACATCTGGTACTGATTTTCACCAAATTTCTCTGACTAAACCAAGACAGAGCTGTTCCATATAGACTGATTCATTTTAGCAACTTCACCGTGTGTCCGTCACTGGTTGAATATGGCTGGACAAACTGGTGACCAGTGAGATGAACGGGAGCGTACATCATGCAGAAAAGAATCATACAATACAAACAGGCGAACCGGATACATAAGGCACATGAGTAATTCCGACGCAGAGATAAATATTATCACATCTAATAACGTCTATTCATAATAATGAGCTTCTTTATTCTTTTGTTTCATGAAGGATTAGAGATAAGTGACGCGATAATAAAAATATATCAGTGACCATCGCTTGACGTGGAAGCTAACTGCAATATCAAGAATAGAAAAACAACACGGAATTTCGATAGTCCCATGAGAACACAAACGTGTAGTATCTAGTCCATCTGTAGTTCAGAGCACTAAGAACTTAGAGTAACACGCAAGGCAGTTTAGTGCTTAGTTGTTTTCGATATTCGAATCGGTTTAGTTCTTAGCCCTGACTTTTGCATCGAATGTGAGCCAACTCTCCAAAATGAGTCAAGGCATTTTGAGAGCTGCGAATGGTCATCACATTTGGCGACCCTAACACAGTCGACGAAGCGGAAACCAGGGCCATTAAAGCCCGCACGGATTTCCATCCGGGTATTTACCCCTACTACACAGCACAACATTGACCCGTGAGTGAGGAATTGATTATACATGATTGCACTGCATCCCTTGCTGGATTACGGTTGTATCGGTGAATCTTCGTGTGTGAAAACAGTGAGAATCTTGGCAAAGTACGTCTGGACAACTTCGCGTCATGCAGTACACCACCTACTTCACCGCCCACTAAGCTAGCGGCTACATCGTACTGCAAGTGGCTTAAGATTTTTCCAAAAAGACCAGCGTGGTATCTCGTGTGGGATGATAAGGCTCACGGTGAGGCTCAAGAAACATTTTCCGTCACAATGTCATCCCCTCATGTTCAACCTGCAGCAAATCACGCAGTCATTGAACTGCCTAAGTGAATTCATTCGATGGCCTCATTGCAGCGTGGGAAGACGTCTAGGTAAAGTAAACATTCATGATCGTCTCCTGCTGCCACAATGCTGTAAGGAAGTTGTGTCAGACCCTGGTGAGGAATTTCGCCCACATGGTAGCAACCAGAGTCTCCGGAAGTCAAACGCGTACAAGTATTGTGCGTTTCGGTCAGGTGTTCCCACGAGAACCTCAAAAAAACGTACCAGTTAGAGGGGAGGCAAACCACTCTTGAAAATCGCGATGAGACTGGAAAATGTGGGGCATGAGAAAGTGCATCAGAGACCATAATTCCATCAATGAGTTTTGCAGGGGCGTTCCGGTCAATAAGAGCCGACGCTGACTATTGAAGGTCAACAAGGTTTGCCATCTTTGTGACTTGAAGTTTTTGATATTTTGTGCCTGAAACAAAGAAACGGATGAAAAAAGGTTGAGTAAACTGCAAAATCGGATGATGAAACATCCACTTAGGAAAAATTATCGAGATGCTTGCTCGAATGGCAGAAGGCTTGAAATCAAAAGTTATCTGTGAGGCATGATACAATTATTTGAAATCAGGTATTTGACGCGAACCGCGGTAAGCTGCCCTAGGTCCATAAGGTGCGTACATGTTATAATTAGCAACGAAATGCACTTACTTAGGGTGAAAACGATCCCGTGATTCTTAGGCTCAGTAGTTGAAGCATGATACAGAGAACAAGACAATCCTCAAAATGTCAATGGTCATCAGCGCCATTCCGATCTTATCTACGGGCAGAGTGCTTCTGGGTTTGCTTCGGATATAATTTATTCAATCTACTCGACGAATACCGAGTCTACTACTGTGATTATAAGGAGAAGGAAGGCACGACTAGACCCTAGAAGCGAACCGGGGCCGCCCGCTAACACACACCCGTCTCAGAATAAAGATCAAGCAAGCCAGAAGGAGACAACAGTCCGGGAGGCAAGGGGACAGCAAATTCAAAGACATTGAATGACACTAGACTGCTGAACAGCTTGTGGCGACCCAGTAGGCCCTATCAGTGAAAACACGGCTAAAGCAGTGAGCTGTGCTGCACACCGTGAACGATGACAGTCAGTCTGCGAAATCAAAAATACAAACAGGGACATGTTGGTAGTGTAGAGAGATTCAAACATTCTTAACCGAGATTTCGTCCTGTAGGTTAAACCAGTCTATGCAGAAAAGAGGAGAAACACTGTATAGCTGTTTCATCCTTATTGAGAATCATTAGCAGTGTGCATATCATGAAATTCCTGAGTCCCGGACCTGCCACCTCCCGGCTAATTGTGTAAACAATTGACCGTTCGGGTAAGAACGGCTGATCACCAGTTTGGTTAGTTCGCGCTTAGACAGGATACAGTCCCGACTCGAAGAGACAGTCAACACGTCACAGAAAGATATGCTTTCCGGGACTGAAGGATGATTGGCGCTACATTTTGTTTAAGTGAGAGCTAATGAGTCAGCCGCTCGTAGCCGAACGGTAAAGTGTTCAGACTACTAGCCGAGAGGTCGCGGGTTCGAGGGTCCTTGGAGTTTTGTGACATGCGCACTGGTGCTGATTCCCAGTAAGGATGAAACAGCTGTACAGTGCTTCTGGGCTTTTCAGCATAGACGAAATCTATACTAGAGCACGAACGTGTGTCCAGCTTTCAGTCCGTTCAGCAAGGGAATGTGCTCTGTGAACGTGTGATCAGAGGTCACGTCGTGGTCACGAATCCAAACCATCAACTACAGGGTGTAAACAAGTGCCTGGTATAGGTTGCCGCTGCTTAGTGGTTGACAACTAGTTACATTATTGAGACAGTAGACGAGTGAACCTCCACGCTCCATACATCACTGGCCTTGGGGTTAGCTCACACCATATACTAGCTACTCGTGGCTCCCTTCAAACCAACCAGCTCAGGAATAACTGTACCTTTATGCATATTAACTAACACTCGCCAAAATGGACAACTAGATCCACCGGTCTGGTATAGAAGATCACACGCCGCCACTCCTCATCCCTCTGAGAACACTAATTACAGTCCCAACATGACTGAAAGCCCGTAGTAAAGCGAAACCGATAACTACCGTCTGTGCATTCGAAATCATCACAGATTAAACAGTACGCGTCGCTCAGACAGTGCGTTACGTATCACGCACAAGAAGCATACCGCCTTTTAGAATCCAGCCCGATTCCAACCAGAATAGGTATAGGTTGTGATCCGACCTGTGTTTTCCTCCGCCCATCTCCACTTCTAACATTTTATCCATTTAAGTTTATGGACTGTTACGGCTCTCAACAGAGGATTCATTTAACACAACGTTTGTCATTTGGACTGTTATAAATCGTTATCAATTTCCGTCTTTCCGCACAAATGCACAGGATAGTCACCAATTATGCGTTGGTCTCCGCTAAGACGTCCTGCGCGTTCATTCTACATGAATATTGAATGCATTCGAAAGATATCCATGGTTTACGTTCGTTTTTAATCGGTTTGTATTAATGCAATCGGCTGGAATAGCATCAAGAGAGAGCAGCGGGTTGGCCGTGAAATCGAGAAGAATTATGTTTCGGTTTCCAGAAGGGAACACACTTTATGTACGCAGTACCTGGCAAGTAAGGAAACGTAGACTGCCCACATACCTCGTCCAAAATGAGGTACTTCCACTTTTTCCGTTTGAAAACACTGGCATCCTGAATAGCCAGCCGGTATGACGTAATACACACGTGGAAGGCATTTGTTTTTGTCCAACCCTGTATATAAAAGATGGAATAAGTATCCTATGGTTAGCTAGAAAAATTAGGGTCATTAAATGTTCCAATAGATTTTATTGTAAATGAAACGACGAAAATGGTCGCTGAACTGCTGAAAATGAATAACATTCAAAATTGCCAAAGAAAAGCAAGCCAGTATAGGAGGTCCCTGTAGTTTCTCGTGCTATTGCTTCCTAGCTGCTAGACTGGTTACAGACAATTAGACGAGTTATAGTTAGATTAACGTCTCCTAACTTACTTGAGAGAATTCGTCCAGGAATGGAAATTTTCCCGGAAATAAGGCCCTTTATCAGAAAGGCAAATGCTGCGAGAACACTACTAGGGTGAACTACAATGGTTGGTTGCGAAAACACTATCAGGTTTGCGATAAACGGACTAGAAATGCGAGTAGGGCCACTAACAGATTCAGTCGCGCTACTGCGCAGTGGATGAATGTGAATTGGTGCTATCCAACACTCAGTGAAATGCTCCCATTCACATTCAGTGGACGTTGGGACCCCTAGTTCCTAATCTAAGTTTTCTTCAGTCAAGGAACTCATAGGCTGGTTTCAGGCTACGTACCGCTCCCTATCTGAATCAAACGATCTACCCACTGCATTTTTAAAGGTGTACTGGCATCATGAACACCGCTTATATGCTCCTCTGACATAGAGGCCATCTGCTACAAAAATGCTCGAACACTGAGACAAGCATCGCCTGCGGGTTTTAGACTGCAGATCCAACAAGGATTCTGATGTTTCAACTGGACGATTTGCAAACGAGGGTAGCTTTATCTCGCATGGACAGGTTGTACACCATAGATCGTTGCTACTGCCCTTGATCGGAAAATGAGACGGGGAACTAAGTATTTTATTGCTTGAATATTTTTTTAACTCTAGGACTAAATGTTAAATGGAGCTGATTTATCCAGGAAGAATACTGAATTCAATCGGACTTGGTCCAGTGAGAAAACAGTTGAGAATTTAAAACGCACCCAACTAGCACTTAGTTCTCATCAGAAGCTTACAAATTAACCTGCTAGCTATTTCGAAAACCAAACGTGTCATCGTACAAGAGAAGTACCCCCAGAAACGAGCCAACGAAAGTGATAACCGAGAAGCAATGCCTAGCTGCGAATGAATTGCCGGGAAGTGATGAATGCTTACTGCTATTGGGATCCGAGTTATCACAACCTCGAAAAAGCATGAAAAAGTAAGCGATAATGTACTCACCTTTCTCCGCTCTTTTCTCTCTTTGATGTTACCAAAATAAGTGATAATTTTGAATCCAGGACACCAGCGTTTGAATTCAACCTCCCAATTCAGAATTACGCTAGTTGGTACCACAATTAGGTGCGGACCCCAGATACCGTGTTCGCAAGCCAGGAAGGCGAGAAGCGCGATTGTCTGTATTGTCTTGCCAAGGCCCATCTCGTCTGCGAGGATACCATTCAGGCGTTTTTGATACATCGCAGCTAGCCAGCTCAGACCAACCAGCTGATATTCTCTAAGTGTCCCACCGTTTAGCAGGAATGGAGCGGATATGTTTAATGAAGTTGAAGAAAGGGTCGTCCCAGTGGGTTGTGCCATGAGTGCTTCTGTAGTTAGCGTCTATCAGAAGTCCAGATAAAATACGGGAAAATTCTCCTTATACAGCATCAAGGGTCACATAAAAAACTCACGGAAATTGTGGCGTAGAATACGGATGCGCTATCATCATCGGAAACAAAACATGAGTGTCCAACAGTGATGCGCCGTTGCGTCAAGATGGGGAATTAGTGCTAGTATAACAATCACTCCGAGGTAGCTACGCCACCGTTCACTAATCTCGACAATCCGGATAGAAAGTGACAACAAGACCGCCACTGGCAGCGATATCTTGCAGCGTCCCCAACCATGCACAGGGGGAATCAAGCAAACCCCATCCAGGAAGCCGAGTCGCACCAACAGAAACTAGACTTTTTTAATCGACTTCATTTCCCTCCACTAGGTTAAAGGTTGACAACTCTGCTTGCAGCACTCTGAATTGGGCACGAAGAACAGCAGTCTTTTCAAAAAACGGTGATCCGGCATGCACGATTCATGGCCCAACCATCGCCACTTTTGGCGCTGGACACATCCTCCGATTGAGCATTCTGTGGCACAGCCTAACAATCGTTCTCTAACTGTCTCATTGCAAGTTCTTTGGCACCAATCTACATGAGCTACGCTTTGGAGGGAACGGCTACCGAAGAACTGGAGACATCTCGGTTCTGCTGCTCACAGACGCCACGTGTCACAACCACAAAAAAATAGACTATGCTGTTGCTAAAACACGATTCGAAGACATGCCGTTTTGCCACCACAACGTGTCTCTAACTAGCAAATGCGATCCGAGATTTAAGCATTAACCCAATATCAATAAAACGCTCTTAAGCTTCATATGCCTCTCCTTGGATTGTAAGTGACACATTCATTGACTGGATGTCCACATGTGGTCAGGTGTGATAGACGTATCCCCTGCCAGACTGCTCTTGAGTTAAAGCTTAACAGGTCACCATAAGACGACGAAAGACAAGTGACGCCAGGAGTTTGTTGAAAACGGGGCGAGATGGCCCAAAGGGTTAGAGCGCGAATTTACTGACCTGAAAGTCTGTGGTTCGAACCCGACCTCTGACTCTCGACTACCCTGGCAGTATCCCAGCCCTCGTGTAACCTTTGGGTGGTGCTACAGCTGAATGATTTTTCAAAAATAGATTACCGCACTCATTACGCCTACTTTTTGAAAACAGCCACTATTATCAATCCTCCTTAGTTGTCTGGGGTAATCTCCTTTCCTCAAACGGAGGTGAAAAGGTTAGACAGGCACTTCATCCCCATTCTTGAATAATGCGGCTGAATCATCCGGACCATGAACCCGGTAGTGCCTGAAAATATAAGGTCCTAGACCCCCGAGGCCGTTCGGGGTTCTAGTGCCGTTCAAGAATCTAATGCACGGCAGCACATGTTCACGAGAATTGCTGTTCAATGTGGTCGACCAAGCGATCAAGGAGTCCATTTTTACTAAGGACGGCGGGTTTTGCTCACAGGCGCTTATCGGAGACCGCTTGCATGGACCAACCGAAACGATTTTCAGGTATTCACGGCATTCTGTACCTCTTCAATTTCCTTAGCATTCGGTTTCCATTAGGTCCGCCAGTATACCTTTCTTACTACGTTTATGGATTGTTATACATTGTAGGCTAACAGCTCTTTGACGATTCGAGTAGAAAGTTGAAGGCCGTAAAAGTGTGAATCACTAAGTGAAGGAAATTTCAGTTAGCGCTGGAGTAGGCCCTATTTTGGCAGCACGGCTGAGCAAAATTTTGTATTCTCTTGTATGTGTGGTCGTTTGGGGTTATTTAGTGAAGAAACAATTGCTTGCAGACGGCTGCGGGATCTGCATGGGTTACATTTCCATCGCTTTGTAGATATACTTGCTTATGTTCTGACAATCTTCAGGTATCCGATAAGAAGAGGAAGCAACAGACCTGAATTTCGCTCAAATTAGAGCTCATTGGCAGTGCATATCCTTGGTCATGCCAAGAACTGAATCCCAAACATCTGCTTCGCGAGGTAAGCGTATAACCACCACTCCACCAGCTCACGTTGGATGAACCTGAATGGTCACCTCAGAAAAGGCGAAACCGTCCATGCTTGAGCGATGCGACTGGTAATCCAAGGCCTCGAACGATGACCTAGTAACTGTCGACTGACTGACCCACCTATTATGGCTTTCTAATCAGGTAGAGCCACGGATGCTCAGAACCTAGAGAAAAGGTAGAAACCTCCATCTAGTGTCCCCCTCGTTTGGGTTGGACAAACCAGAATAACTTCACCCGGACAGGAATAGGTCTGTTCAAATGACACTTACGTGAATACAAAGAAAATAATATGAAGCTGGGCAACCAAACCTCGTAATGCTGAATGGTCCAGCAAGTACACTTTGGCTTGGAGCTCCGTGGCGTCGAACCAAACTGAAACAAAACCTCCTCTTGATAACAAGAAAATTCTGTTTTGAGGACATCTCAATTCAGAATGAGCACGGGGACTCCCGAATGGAATGTCCCATGTACAACAGAAGTAATGTCCTAAAGATTGACCAATCTCAACAAAAAAAGACGGAATGTAACAGTTTCGAAGCTGAAGTTTTAAGACGCATAAACGTTTGTTTCCCGTTACATGTAGAAAGACTCACCTCTAACTCCTGCTGGTCCTCTGAAAGTACTGAGTTCGGAAGCGAGCCAGTGACTGTTGACAATTCACTACTTATTCCTTTGCTCGAAGCATTTTCAGTTTCACCTTCTTTCGTTTTCGATCCGAATTCTTCGTCCACTAATTCAGGGCCTGAAACTAGCTCCCGAAGAAGTGTGCCTTGCTCTTCGTCCTCTTCCTCTTCTCCATCTGCGTCACTAGTAGAGACACTGGAATGTGTCGTTCTGTCGTCATCAGATTCATCTCCCGATGACGTAGTGGTGTACGATTCACGGGTTGAAGGACTTAGTTCTGATTCAGACACTGACCCCACGTGATCTACCGTATCTTCTGCTTCTAACTCACGTTGCTTCATCAAGCTATCCAACAACACATCCAAAGGCATAGTCGCTTCTCGCTCCAGTTGGGCAATCTCATCAAGTTGTTCAACACTCTCCGCACCTCCAGATTGTGCGCCACTTTCTTGTGTTTCAAGATAGTTACGTCGTTTGTAACCTTCCTGGTCTTCTATGGTAGTTTCTTCCTCCCAGGTTTCCGCATCACTATTCTCTGCACTGATGTGGAAAGGCTCATCACCGTCAGGTTCCGATTTTTTCTGCAAAAATATATGTAAATGTGATAACGAACAATATGTGGTCCATAAAGATAATTGGATGGATGGAGTACGGTATAAAGAATTAAATATGTAGTCAAAATATTGACACTATGTTACCTATCATGATACTAACCAGGGTGCGTTCCAGATCTGGATTCGACAGCTTCTCTGCATCTGTGGAAGTGTCCAATTCTTCCGGCTGGTAGTCAAAGTAATCTGGTGGCACGAGTTCCTCGAGAGGTACCTCTGCATCAGCAGTCAATTGAGCTAGTTCGGCTTCCGCCGTCACCCCATGTTCTGGCGAGTGCTGCTCCTCCTGTTCGATAGTTTCTTCGTCATCTTCAATGGCAGCCAAAGCTGCCTCATCCGCCTAAAGTAGACGCAGACAGTGTATGTACACACGGCTTCCTGCTAAGCGGATTAATATAAAGGGATAAACATGACTGGACGGGAGCCACGATATAGAAATTCAGAGGGGAAAAAGAAGAGTAGGGGAAAAGGACTAACACTCCAAAAATTAAGGGGGAACTTTTTCATTCCTGATGCGATACTACTGACTATAAGCTAATGACTTCATCAACCTTATAGGTGGTGTCACACCAACAGAAATACTTCGATATGCTGAATGTCCCGCCAACTGAATCACGGAGCGGCTTGTGTGTACCATATTCAGTTGAATAATGTTATCATCTGGATTCTTCACTGAGGACATGCCACCACCTTGATTCGCAAGCGAGTGATTGCATAGAGAAGTATTTATCATCAAAGGCGTCGCCACCGGACCTCAATATCTGGCCGGTGGTGAACAGAATTGAATACTTGGGTTATTTATCCTACTCACTGTAAACTCGGCATCCGACGAATCTGTGGAATGCACTGGCTTCTTCGCACTGTTGACCCGTGCTTTCGTGGATGGTCTATCAGAAGCATCTTTGGCTGACCCAGAAGTAGATGCTTGGTGATTATCCTCTGCCATATCCATTTGCTTTGTCTTGTTACCTGTGATGCCTTCCGTCAACCAACGGGTGTATTCTTCAGTGGTTTCCAGGACCCTTCCTAGATGAGAAGTGATAGCCTGTTGATGTTTCACACTAAGTCTTGCTTTCTGTTTTGCATGTACAATCTGAAAAATGGAAAAGATCATAAAAAGCACCATCACTATGGGAGTGATTGAAAACTAATGAAGGCAGTTGACATCATGTATTACATACATACATCATTATCATCGACAGCACAGATGAACGAAGGGAAATATCGAGTGGTCAAAAGACTAGAGTGGAACAAGGATGGGAGGCAAGGAAAATATATTATTCTTCCCAACTGACCTTGTCTATCTGGCGCCACCACTCGCGAACCATACGGGAAATCATTGCACAAAGTTTGCGGGCTCGTAAAACTTCCTCCTTCTCAAAACGTATGGACCGTTCCGTTTTATCTCGGTGTGCCTTGATGGCACCAATGGCCAGCTAAAAAAGGGACAAAGTGTCACCGCAATAAAAATGGCCAACCACCTAAAGGACACAAAGATGCAACCTGTGGACGAGCAGCATTAAAAACACATTCATTTGGAGAAACAGCAGGGTAGGATACCTTTTTGGCCGATGCTTTCTTCCACTGACGTTCTCTCTTGAAATCTTCCGATAACCATTGGAGTTCCGCAAACAAATAGTCAGAGTACATTTTGTCCGTCTGTTCTGGAGGAGCCGCCAGGGAAGATAGACTGGGAGTAGGGGCGGATGCCGTAACCTCGGTCCCCTCGGTACATATTTCACTGACTGACCAAAGACCCGCAAGCTTCATCCCCATCACACGTTTGTGCAGTTCCAATTCATCTAATGCAAGTTGATAGAGTGAGTCTTCATCCAACCTACGCTGGAATACGCAAGACAACAAAACACAAAATAAATGAGAAGCTATCCATCAGTTATTCGAGATCAGTTTAGATAAATCTGAATATGCTTGTAAACCTAAAGAATATATATGCTGAAGTAGCACTAACAAAAGTGTAAATATTTCATGATTGGAGGTGTGCCATTCTGAATAATACGTAGACCGTTATAGTTCTAAACTCTCCGGGAAAATTAACGACGAATCGGCACAACGGGTTAGTTGAATAACAATAGCTCAAGATAATCGAAACAACCTTAGCACCCAACGATATCACCCCAAAATACAGACAACCTGACCTACCTCCTCCTCTTCCTCCTCAGAATCACCGTCCGCATCACCAGTCTGTGGGCCAACATATCTTTGGATGCTAGGTAGAAAGAAATCATCAGGCGTCACTTTTCCCGACATAAAACTTCCGATCAGGGCCAAATCTTCTGGATCCAGATGACCAGAACACAACGCTTGCATCAATTCTTGTGACTTTTTGCGTTTCCATGGAGGAAAGTCGACCAAAAGCGAGCCACTTTGTATGAAGCTAAGTTCCGCGAGATCTTCATGATAGGCAGCCTGTAACCGCTGCAATCGTTCCAGTACATACTCGGAAATACGGGAACGAACAGCACGTAGAGAATAAGTTGCCGTTTGTGCATCTAACTGTGCACTGCTTGTGTAGGAATCGGGAGCGATTGGTAGCGGGAGTGGATTCTTGTCATCGGACTGACGATGGACAGGTGACTCAGTTGATAAGTTCTCAACATATTCCATATTCATCCCCATCGGGGTTTGTACACTGAGACAGAGATGATGCACTGTTGTAAGATATCACGGCGTCAGCGGAAAATCAGATGAACTGAAGCCTGATTGCACATGACGTACACAGAGCTAAAACAAAAGGATGCTGCTGAGATGAGCCTGCACAGTCGCACGCAAGCATTCGGAAGAATTTATCACCATGAGTCAGAGCGACATTTCTAATGTTTAATTGTGGATTCCGTTTTGTAGAGTAAAGATCAAAGCTGAAGATCCGCTTTATTCTTCGCAGGAATTATCAACAATGTGCGTCTTACTGATCCCAAGGGAGGTGTTCGTGTCAGAAGCCATCGAAGTAATAGTTGAGTACACTGTCACACTAGTTTTCAACCTTTCTAGTCGAGCGCAATCACTTCTATAGACGTTCGTATGACCCCAGATGTCTACTGCAATAGAATAACTATACTCAACTTCATCCACGTTTCTTACGAAGTAAAGTCTGTCGCGTGCTTCTAACATGAAGTGAAATTGATTCAGAGGCGATAGTACAGATATGTGAGGCTGGAAACCTGTGGGACCCGTTTCGCTTTGCAGCTCTAATTATCCTTTAACCGTGCAGATTCAATCCACATGACTTGACGTTAACTGCCTTCTTGGGCGGCGACTTGTCAGAGCTAGACTCAGTTTTTAGGTGTATTCTATAATATAATTCACATTTCTGCACGTAATTGGGGAAATTCTTAGGTTTCGTCTGCGGACTGTGACCTACACAGGTGGACGAACGTTATTATACAGATTAGTGTATTTCCTAGCCTTTTTTTCGATGGGCGTTTTCGTTATCCTGATCAAGGTGACCACTTGTATTTCCCTTGTTCCTGAGAACACTGAAAAGCGAGACATGCCCAGCTACTTCGCAAACATTTGGATGGACGACAATGTTAACGAATGTTGATTAGCGCTTGCATGTCTCCTTGCGGCAGTGCTGGATAAGGACACAAATAGTTTTGTAATTTGCTTAATTTACAAGGTGCCACCTAACGAACTCAACGGACAAATCCCCGTAATTGACCAAAAATAGCTCTGCACGGGTGATTGAGCCAAAATTGTGGTGGTCGAGCTTTGGTGCTGCAGTGCTTTTGAGAGCCACACTGGTTTGGTCTGCTCCTTACGGTTCGAACACACCAGGATGGTAAACAGGGATCAGTCCGACGAAAAACATATACGACTATACGTAGTGCGGTCAATCTTGTTACGTGTTCTTGAGTTGAGATCATACTGTTCGGTGTGAAAAATGTGAGAAGCGGGCGACCAGAATGTCCACATCTATGGGAACAATGTTGCTGTCTTCTCTCAGGAGAAGGGCTAGAAAGGGTTGGCCCCAAAACCGAACACTTCAAGTATGCAACGGTTGATCATAACCGACAATGTTATCCAACTCGGCCAAAAGACAGACAAACCTCTCAGTGATACGAGGCTTTGACCACCGATTCCTCAGACGCGTCGCCGAATGTGGATGGCGTCAACGAATTAGTAACCAGGCGAGTGGAGAACGAGTATCTGGTTGTGCAGTAAGTGCTCCGACCCCGCAAAACATTCAGCACTACGAACTACGATGGATCGCCATTTCTACGCATGCCGAAACACCGTCTACTGAGACGAGTATCGTTCTCCATGCCCTTCTCAAAATGGCGTGAGCCGCGAGATGAAGAACGTACTTGGTACTATCATCACCATCAGTTGTGAAAACGGCGAACTTACCGTACAGTGGTTCTAAGTGCCACAGCTTCGTTCACCGGATTTAGGAAAGTAGGGTAGATAGCTGCACATTGGAAGCGGTAGCTAATATACTTGATGTGTCAACAAAGAGGTGTCAGTGGAAACGGGGAGGGGAGCTGTGCATATAAAGCAACAGCTTGGTCACATGAGTGCAACTGAGGTCCCAACTGGGCCATATCTGACAGTGTCTCTAACTATTTATGTATCCTGTCTCACGATCCCCATCCAGAGAGACAGCGCAGCAGTTTGTCGGTAACTGCCCTCGTGGTTCGCTGCCAAGTCATCGTTTGACCTCCCCTGGCTCGCATCCACCCATCGCGTGGTTGGGCGAATAAAGACCTTCGAGGAAGTCGGCTGACTGGCCTACGGAGCACGTGGTCAAGCCAGCGCGACCAGTTTCGTCAGTTCATTTATCGCATGCGTTATTTCTTCCGAAAACCACTTGACGTACTTCGGCATTACTGAAGTGTTTGGGTGCTCTAATCAGATGCGGGCAATACTCTGAAGACACCGATCGACAAACACTGAAAGTCTTTTGACCTCCTCGGCGCGCAGGGTCCAGGTTACTGATCCGTATAATAATATGGAGCGCACCACAACATTCTAAACTCGACCCTTGACGGATATCCTGATGTCACACCTACGTCATAGGTGATGCAGGTTCACGAAAGCTGCTCTGGCCTTCCAAATCCGGAGGTGAATTGCATCTTTTGCGAGACCACCGGGACCGATAGGTAGGCAAATTTGTCTGCTACTTCAAGCGGCTCATTCGCAAGCATGAGATTAGGGTCCAAGTCCATCCAGCCTTGCAGGAACACTTTACACTTTGCAAGTGTGAAACAAAAACCAAACCATGAAGCGGAATTATTTAGATTATTTGATGTTCTTTGCATTACAGTGATACCACATCCAAGAAGAACTATGCCGCCTGCGCACCCGATATCTGCGAGCGAAATTCTTCAGAGCGTCTCGACTCCGCAGGCATTAGAGGCTAGTAGTGAAATTCCTGACGTTACTTAGGACTAGCGATCTCGATATCCAGTTGTCACTTAATCGTATCTGAGAGGTCGCACACACAGCTCTGAGGGCCGCTAGAAAACCATCTTTTACATTGTGCCATATCTTGTCCACGCGCCCACTACTAGTATAGTGCTGGTTTATTGTAGAGTTGTTGAGCTAGCTCGGATCGATGCTGTTGCCCAACGGTAATTATTCGAAGAAGTTGGATTGGTATGTTTCTGACTTGCGGTAGGCAAATTTGTCTGCTACTTCAAGCGGCTCATTCGCAAGCATGAGATTAGGGTCCAAGTCCATCCAGCCTTGCAGGAACACTTTACACTTTGCAAGTGTGAAACAAAAACCAAACCATGAAGCGGAATTATTTAGATTATTTGATGTTCTTTGCATTACAGTGATACCACATCCAAGAAGAACTATGCCGCCTGCGCACCCGATATCTGCGAGCGAAATTCTTCAGAGCGTCTCGACTCCGCAGGCATTAGAGGCTAGTAGTGAAATTCCTGACGTTACTTAGGACTAGCGATCTCGATATCCAGTTGTCACTTAATCGTATCTGAGAGGTCGCACACACAGCTCTGAGGGCCGCTAGAAAACCATCTTTTACATTGTGCCATATCTTGTCCACGCGCCCACTACTAGTATAGTGCTGGTTTATTGTAGAGTTGTTGAGCTAGCTCGGATCGATGCTGTTGCCCAACGGTAATTATTCGAAGAAGTTGGATTGGTATGTTTCTTGCTGACTTGCGAGGACCTGAAGAGAGGCCAACTGACGGCGTACACGGAATCAAGTTGTGTGCCTCTGAGGGAACCGCGATCTTGCATTGTGGCTCTTTTCCGGGCTGATAGCCACGTGATCCAACTACAACAACGGTTGATTTGCAGTTGGTGGCTACCAGGTTACGCGATGCGAACGTTTGTACTGAAAATTCGTACTGGCCAGAAGCGGTTGGTGATCAGTACACAACTAGGGGAGTCGCTCTCCGTTGTCCGTGCGACGAGCATCGACTCCGAATCTACCACCCACATACGATTCCAAGAAGCCCAACGGCCGAGTTACCAGAATGTCGTGGAAGAGATTATGAAGTTTGAAATCTTCTTGTTGTAGGCCATCCAGGATGGGGGCTACGTGACCCTTCATGCACTAGGCTGGCAACACTGCAAGAAATGCGGCTGGCCAATGTCACTAGCGTCCCTGCTGCCAGTTTCTTTTCAAATTGTCTGACTAATCGGTTGGATGTGTAGGCACCCCAGAATGTTCGCGATATGTCAACACCACGTCTCCACCCTCACCCACCCTTTTCTCTTATTTCATTTTACAACTTTAAATATAATTAGATAAACTTTTTGGTTGTACGGCAGTGAAGCATTAGTGTCAATATTGGTGCTGCCGTCTTCGGTAGTGATGATGATGGTGAAAATGGTAATGGTGGTGATGGTGGTGACGATAAGACGTTAAGGTCACTGGCCATATTGTTTTTCTTGGGACAGACAATTAAGAAACATGAACTATCTCAACCTAAATCATCCTGCTGCACGGTTAGGCAAGCAAGACTGAATGAGATCAACCTCAAAAGTGACGTCCACGGGTGGATCGGGTCGTTTGATAGTTAAGTTCGTCTATCTGGATCTCTGCATAAGGCTCGGCTGACTGGTGAAGGACGAAATCCCCTTCCGAATCCGAAAGGCAATGGCAGCGTGCACCAGCCTCCAACATTTTTGGGTCATTTCACTCAAGAACTCTTGCGCTTTTTCCTCCCCTTCGAACATGAGAATGATGTCATCTGCATATTCCAGATCGACAAGGCTTTCACAGGGTTTTGGAGACCTTCCAGCGTTCCTCTCATGATTTCGTCGACCGCGAAGTTAAATAGAAATGGAGAAGGTGGGCATCCCTGACGGACACCACTTTGTGTGCGGAAGCTTTTGTAGAGCTCGCCGTATACTTTCACACGTCCGGAAGTCTGAATACAAAAAGCATGTTATGTTCATAAACTTCTGGGGCATCCCTTGGTGGATAAGCGTGTCAACAAGAACAGACCGGTCAACCGAGTCGAATGCGCCTCGGAAATCCAGGACTACTAGAATTGTGGGTCCTCAATCAAAGCCAGAAGAACCAGGAGACTGTGTTCGTCAGACTTCTAACTATTGACCAACCTGGTATAAGAGACTCTGAGTGTCACGATGAACACCTCCAGTGTTGCTCAATGGGTCGCTGAGGTGCACAAACCGTCACACGACTGAAAGGTTCAGTCTCTTCGCGACGGGAGTTGACATTGATCACCTGCTGCAACTGTTCACAGAACTCCTTTACGGTTGGGTTTGATACAAACCTAGGGGAGTGGACAGCTATTACAACCACGTTCAAGATGGCCCCCTTGAGACGAGTCACAACTAGCTCTGGAAGTAATGGATTCAAAGCAGTGGGCGCATTTTTAGCTTGACCGCTTGCGGCAATGAAAACTCCGCGGGTGCCCGAGTTATCCGCTGTGACGAAGGCAGTAGAAGGCATTTCGATATTTCGTTTTGCTGAAAACATCACCATAAAAGTCGGTGAATAGGACTTCTCAGAGGAAGTCACATTGTGGTAGGTTACCTGCAAGCATTATATTGGGGTTTAGAGGACTACACTACTTCTTTCTGGAGACATCCGTCACGGATCACATCAAGACGTAAGGAGGCATCGTGGCACTTCGACTTTGTTAATCTCATGTTCCCATAATAAATGTGCAATGCGACAAAGTCTTCTATGGTCAGTGACAATCATTCCGCTTTCATCTCCAGCATAGTGCCAAGAATCACAACCATTAAGAAATGCAGGACGCACTGCCACGTAGTGACCCCGCGCTTTTCCAACAGACTATTGTAACGTCGACTAAAAAGGTGCCCAAATTGGAGCCAGGAAGAAGAGGCATTTGCGATTCTGAAGTTCGGTTCGTCAGCAATCCCGCCACTAACATGATTCAACTACTCAGATAGGTGGATCTATCCAACATTTCGATCGGTTCAGCTGGGGCCGTGACATTCGCCATGCCTGGGAGCAAACACTAGATCGTCCAGCAGTGGTACCCTTTCGGTGCCTAACTGCCACATCACCCGAAGGAAGCACGAGGACTGGGATACTTCCAGGTTGCCCAAGCCCAGATAGGAGAAGTCGAGAGGCAGATGTCGGGTTCGAACCACGGACCTTTCGGTCAGTAATTTCGCGCTCTTACCACTGAGCCATCTCGCCCCTTAGGAGACACTGAATATCACAGGTTGGCGATGCTGCTGGCGTACATGTTGTCAGTTTCTAACCAGATTGTTCGATTGGAGGTTGGATGCACAGACGCCTAGAATGTTTTGGCAGGCTAGTCCTACTTCCTTCTACATGTCCAATTTTTCTCGGTGGAAGAGAAGTTTGAGTTGCCTAACCGGCGCTTGCAAACCCCAGTTGGTGGATGGCAATAAGAATACCTTTCAACGCAGTGGCCACATTAATTTGATGTGTCCCGCTATCGATATCCATTTCGGCACTATGTTTGTCAGATGTTCGCCTAGCTGGCGTCTGAACTTGTCATTTTCTCTCCCACCACACAACACTCAGAGACCTCACCGGGTCGACGATCCTACATAACCTCCTGGGTATCATCGACAGATTGTACTCACTGTTTGTGGAGCGCTGAACAATGGCCCCTATCTCAGCGGTCATTACATAATAGTAAGCCCATGGGTAGTCCAGCACTTGCGGCACAAGGATGTGACGAAACGCGGTATGGAGGCTGCCGGCACGACGATACCGCAGCGGAGTCTAACCGGTCCTCCTATTCGAAATTCCTCTGACCTTCCACCGAAAGCGTAGCCACTCCTCAAACACGTTCCACATGGTTAATCTCACCCCTATGGAGAGGATAAGACACGATGCCTCCGTCTGGTGGGCACGTCACACGTGTAGGGCGTCCAGACTTTTCAACGCTACCAGTGTGATGCAGCTTCTTGCATGCCCAGGGAAATGTTTCAAACCACCTTAAGATCTTCCTTAGTCTTAGAGATATCCCGAGTAAAGTCCCATTCAAGCGAAACAACTGAGTCGTCAACATTACACATAATAAATTGACAGGACTATTGGGAGCTGTCAGGTGAGTAACCATTCAGACGGGCAGACGAGGAGCTCCTGTCAGCACTCAGCGTCGTCACAATTACAAACTTCCCACCAGAACTCAATTAGACCTCAATTAGATCACTCAGACGATACACTACGTTGTACCTAAGGCGGAATTTTGAGGAGTACCGCTAGCGAACTGACTTTCTGATTATATAAAATGGACGAACAATGCATATAAGCCTCTTGATGATGAAACTGAGCTGAGTTTGCGAGAAAGCTGCCGGCAGTTTGAATTTTCCGCGTGGTTTGAAACGCGCTCCTTCTCGGACAATCAGAAGCCTTCGGTATTCGCACAATGGAATTGAAACTTTGAAAGTTGTGACGTGTCATTGATGGATTAAAGCAATCAGGCAATTCAATTGGAAGTTTGAGTTCGAACTTATAAGCCCCATTCAGGCGTCTCAGTGTCTCAGTGATGCTGATAAATTATCCAACGAGACTTTTCAACCAGACGCGTGGTTGCTTCAGTGAAGAATGAAACTTGGAGAGCTGCAAAATTATAAGAGTAAGTTAAAACGGTTTTTGGTTTGAGCCTAAATGCAACAAACTGCAACAGTGTGGCATAGGAAGTTTTACTTCACTTGCGAAGTTTTTGCCACTGAGAGCATTGTGCTGATAATGGGCGCCCAATCGGGACGCCTACGGACTCTGAACTATATCCAAAAAGTAGAAGTTATGGAGCAGATGGGTTCACCTTTGTTGGGCTACGAACATGCTAGAGCTAACGCCCTCGACCTTTGTTATGTATGCCGTACACTACTCAACATCGCAGTGTCACTAGAAGCAGGGGAATCTTTCGCCTGAAAACAAAATAGAATATGGAA